GCTACCACAACCAGTGCCACCATCAGTACCACTACTTGTACTACTACAACAACAACTACAACTACTGCTACTACTGCTACTACTACTACTACTACTACTACTACTACTACTACTACGACTACTCCTGCTGCTTTTGCTACTGCTACTGCTGCTGCTAGTGCAAGTGCTACTGCTCCTGCTAATGCTACTGCTAGTAGTAGTGCTACTGCTACTGCTGCGACGACGACGACGATGTACGACGACGACGACTACTACTACCACTACTGCGACTACTACTTTTCTCGCTGGTATGGAGTCGTGAAGTTGACTGGTTGAAAGCTTCAGCCCCATGGATTCCAGCTGGGATTTTCTTAGTCGCATTTATCAAGGCGGCGGAGGCCCGACGTCGGGGCACAGCCAGGGTCGGGCATCCAGACTGTGACTCTGCACCTGTACCGATGCATGCGCCGTGTGGGGATACATGTCTGCGTGCACAGGTCGAAGCGTTTGCAGCTTCCCTGGAGTGAAGGAGTGCCCTCTGCTGAGCAACACAGCTTCCACACAAAAGCGAAAGATCTGCAATCCCTGTCGCCGAGGTTCCGGCAAGGTGGCAATGCAGTTCTTGAGGGCAAAGGACCTTTCTGATATTGCAGGATCGCGCAAAGAAAGGTCCGCATCGGAATGTGAAGCATGGGTCCCTAATTGATCTAATTGTCGAAGCCACAAACCAGTGTACCCGAGCAATGGCTCAGCGCACGGGGTCGTGGTGAACTGACGGCCATTGTGAATCGAATGACATGCGAGGGACCAGGTCCCTGGTCTGCTGGACACGGCATCAGACAGCTGAAGCTGTTGCGAAGCAATGACATGGACCGCCGTCGCGTCAAAGACAGGAATGCTCCGCCGGGTTGATGTCAGAGGCCTGCTGTCGCACCGCGCCGAAACACGGCCGGATCCGGACAGGCGGAAGCAGCAAACGCAACAATCGCACCTGCTTTCAGGCTGAGACAGTTCTCCCAGCTCACAAACAACCCAGATCAACCCAAGATCGATCTGCTGTGCAGAACTCCCTGGAACAGCAGTCTGTTCGCAGGCTGCCTTCCGCAAACTGGCCCCGATGGACCTTGATCCTGAAAGGGGGGGGGGATGGGGGGCGGGATTCCGCAAGAGCTGCACCTTTTGAGCATGCATGTCCAATGGGTGGACAGGAATTGCGCCATAAACAACTGCTCCACTGCTTCTCTTCGCTTGGAGCCTCTTCAGGCAGCGGTCCTGGTGATCTCTCTTGTTTTGCCAAGACCGGAAGAAGGAGAACTCATCGCTCGTTCGGAGCCTCCTTTGTCGGATCGTCAGCATTGCCGTCAGGTTTAGAAATGTGCGGATCTGGATAGGAAAGGAGTCCACTTGCAAAGACATGTTGCGACCCGTTATCTTTGCCATCACGTTTCCATTGCACACTTTGCATCCTCAACCGGTGCTTGAAACAGGGGCAAACTGATTTTCTCAAAGTCCACCGTAAACGAAGGCAGTGTTCGAAAGACCGATGATGTGTCCAACGGGTCGAGTGCAGCGAACCTTGCTGGACTAAACGAAGGGCAGCTGCCTTATGAAGTACCGGGTGTTTATTGACGTAACAAAGCCACGACAAGCTCGAAGACCTCGAAGACATGGATCGGCTGATTGGTAGATTGCGGTTGGATTCTGAATGAAGCTTTCGCGATTCGCAATCACAGAAGACTGTCTGCTGTGTTGTCAGCGACCGCACAGATGAGCAGCTCGAGGCCGTTTGCAGTTCATTGTTGCAGAAACTCAGAAGCGCACCATATTGCTTACTCAAAGATGTGATCTTGAGGATCCCTCATATGTTAGGCTGTCTGAACAACTCCTTTGTTCGAATGAGACTAGTGGTTTGTCGAGATATGTTGAGATGACTTTGTCTCGCCGTCAAGATTTTCATCCTGAACTTGAAACACGTGTTATCAGCGTTGTTCCTACCTCCTAGACTTCGTTCATGGTCTGCATCAATGCTCGTGCTGGGAGCTGGTTGGCCCAAGGGCCGCGTGAAATCAAGCCTGGTGGGTCATACGAGGTGGGAGCTTGAAGCTTTAGCGGCAGAGGTGACGATCCAGCAACCTTAAAGGTGAAGCATCCGTCCGTAGCATATTCATGTGCTGGCAAAGCCAAATGGTCGCCTGCGGTCTCAATGCTGGATGACGCAGGCAGGAGAGGATGGCTTCCGCTGGCAGCATTGTTCGTTTGTACGATGCTGTCTCGGAGGGTGTATTTTATTGTATTTTTTCGATGATTATGTTTTTCTCTGGCGTCGCGGGCGCAGCAAGCCTGGCAACATGTATCTATATATCAATCTATCCAGCTGTCTATCTGTTTACATAGCGAGAGAAATACAGAAGTAAGAACGAACGAAATAAACAAATAGATATAGAGATATAGGAATGTATGTATATATATATATATATGTATAGACATACCATTACTACTGATACTACAAAAGTGCTACTGCTACCGGTAATCTTATTGATACTACCAGTACTTGTGTGAAGGGCACCCCTTAGGAATTCGGGGGTTAGCTGTATCGGGGGCTATTCAAAGCAGCCGGGCGCCTATTTTGGTTCTCAAAACCATGGTCCAGGATGCATGCCTGGCAACAAACGACGCTTCTTTTCCAGGGGGTACCCGCTGCTAGTATAACTTACTACACCCAAGCGGAATGAATGACACCGTTGCGGCATACCTTAAAACGTCCCTGCGGCCACGTGTGCCCATTTTGATGCTCTCGATCTGGCAGCCGAACTTGCCTTTCGCTTGCCAACGGTGCACTCCCTGACCGTCAAAATCCGGTCGTGCGAAAATGCCTTTTGCAAATGGCAGGCGCGGGGCCATTGGACCCAAGAAGCTGCTCGATCTTCGTGGCGAGACGATTTCTCCAACTTTGATGCTTTCTGCCGGTTGTGAGAGGCACACCTTCGTACATTATACATTTTCCCTAGCACAGAACATACATGACCATTGGTATGTACAGTAACTAGCCGTGTACTTGATTTGCTGAGCCCTAAAGGTGCAGCCTTCAGGCATTCAGGTTTGACTTGACTTGCCTTGCCTTGCCTTGCCTTGACTTGACTTGACTTGACTTGACTTGACTTGACTTGACTTGACTTGACTTGACTTGACTTGACTTGACTTGACTTGACTTGACTTGACTTGATCTGAAGTTGGTCAGGCACTCCAGCAAAATCCAAAGGAATTGGCATTGATAATGTCCCGTACGAAGCATAATCATGGTGGATGGAAGTGATCCTTCAATCAGGGACGCTGCCACCCAAGCCGTGGCGGACCACTGCGGCATCGGGTCTTACCTCGGCAAGACACGGGTGATAGCCGCCAATGCAGGACCGCCGCCGCCTGGGATCGCAGAGCTGGGCGAGGATGTCTGGCGGGGCGACAAGCCATCCGCCCAGCGCGGGATCGTCGTGCTGGGCACGCCGGTTGGGCATGCCGACTTCGTCCAAGCCTGGGCCAACGGGCGACTTCAAGAAAAACGCCGCCTGCTGGACGAGCTACCTCGCGTCCCGGACCTCCAGTGCGCCTGGTTGTTACTGCCGTTCTGCGCTTCACCTCGCGCCAACCACGCCTTGCATGCCTTGCGAACACTTAGAAGATCCCCAGTCGGCGTCTTACGGCCATTTGGGGGACACACCAAGAGTATCTGGGATGAGTGCCTCCGGCCGAGGCACAGCACACCTGGCCAATCGCGGCGCTGCCAGCCGTTCACGGCGGGCTCGGCTGACAGTCAGCGGAGCGCACGGCCCCAGCAGCTGTGGATGGACGCGCTCCCTGTCATTCGGTCTCGCCTGCCCGGCGCAGCTGATCGCTGCTTGGCGGTTTCGCAGCAGGGCGCCGAGGGCACAATCCCATGCTTGCGCGAAGCAGCTGCATTGCGACACCTCTTGCACGGTGAGGGTTGGAAAGCATCCCCAGCTGGCGTGCTGCCCACGAAGGCGCCCGGCCGCAATCGTCCCGTGATGCAGGCCCGGGAAAATGGCCGCATGGCTGGCAGCTGGCAGTTTCACACGACGCGGACCGAAACCTATACTATCGCGGCGTACCGCGTGCTGCTGCCGGCTCTGCAGCCAGCATCCCAGGCCCTGCTACGTTCGCAAGGCGGGCCACACGCAGGTGCCTGGATCCCGAAAATCGTCGAGCGAGCGAGGTCGGACCCGATGGGCAGGTCATTCCTCAACAATGGCTGGTACACACTACCGCGCCGGGAGTGCCAGCCGACGATCGCCGACGGCTTGACTTCGGCACAACATGGCCTGCGGGGAGGCTCGTTGCTGCGACGCGACCCTCGTCTCTCCACTCGGGCGCCGCTGACACAGACATGCCGCTTCGTGCCACGTCCCTGCGCAGAGGCCGCGCGGCAGCTGCGGGCTGATCGCGCCGTTAGTGGGCGTGCTGGGTGTGGCCGTGCAACAGGCCGTCGCGAGCAGGGGCAGGCCTGGCCGGCGCCGCCCCATCCGTGTAAAAGGGACGCGCCGCCCCTGCAGCCTGCAGCGAGCGCTTGAGCTCGCAGGACACGCGAGCCTTAGTCGCTTGCCACTGCGACCGTAAGGGGTTAGCGACTTCGCTTTCGTAAGCATGTAGAGAAATGATGATACGAGTAGCAAACCTGCCCCTGGCAGCATAGCGTCGCACATGGGCAAGCGGAAAAGAGGCGTTGTTGCAAACAGGTTGGGCGCGGTGCCATAGCGACCAACTCGAGCTCCGGCCTCCTGGCAGACATGTGCGATGGCACGCTCGATTGGACCAGCGCGGGAGGCCAGTAGCCCTGACGTGGCGCAAGCGGCACGGTGGTCGCCATACCGTACGCATCCAGCGCTCCTCGACACGAGCAGGTGCGCGGCCCAAGCGGGAGGGGGGCCTGAGCCGACGGAGGAGGACGACCCGAAAGTGGGACGGAGGGATGGTGACGTCCTCAGTTGTGGGCAGAACTGAGAGGAATGCGGCCCGGCCTGCGAGAGCAGCAGCGCACGAGCAGCTAGTCGCAGATCAGCAAGGTACGTCTCGAGCGCGCTCTCGTCACAGGCATGGGCAGCGGTGCGTTGCCACCCCTGTCGGAAGTCGGCCGGCTCGTCGCCACGGGAGTGCAAGTCGGCGTGGCCTGGTATGGCCTCGTCCCAAGTAGCGACGTGAACGCCGTCACTGCGCAGGAAGGCAGCTGCCTGAGTAGCAGCGAGCACGGAAGGCATGGGGGCGGCTGCAGGGGCCCGAAGCGATTTCAGCAAGCGGTCGGCGAGGCGGATGGCTGCATCATGCTGGCTTGCATACCCGGCTGTGGCGGTAGGGGGCAGAGCTCGCAAGGGATAGTTGGCACGCGGGCCAACGCAATAGTGCAACAATAATGAGGATGCCTGCAGGTCGTCGACAAGGGGGTGTGCTGGAGGAAGCAATCATGCTCCTCTCGATTGAGCTCCAGTCGCTGCTGGATGTAGGCGTCACTGCCGAAGGGTGTGCCAAGGACGTTGAGGCCTTGTCGGTGAGGCGGCAAGGCCCAGTCACAGACCCAGACCGCTGTGTCCAGGTGCTTCTGTAATGCGGAGATTCCGGGAGGCTCCTCCCCNNCCGGCGGCATTCCAGATGCGTGTTTTGGAGCGGTTGAGGTCGACGAGTGCGTGGACCCAGAAGGCCCGCCGCTAGGCTTCGTATAGTTCGCACACTCGCTCCGGCGCGGACGCAATGTACGTGTCGTCGAGGTAGGCGAGGATGGCTTTTCCGTTTCTGCGAGTGAGAGTGATGCACATGGTACGGGAGTGGTACTACCAGCAGCACGAGTATAGTACGAGTAGTGCGAGTAGTACGAGTAGTACCGCCAAGTACGAGTAGTACAAGTAGTACAGACAGCACCGCCCGTACTGCTGCAAAGCAGTGATCGTAGGAGAGAGAAGCTTTTCCTTGAACAACCAATTGTTGAGGTCAGAACGTGAAACATGCTAATCAAATTGTTGCACACATCAAGCATCCAAACCAACAAGGATAACTAGACGACAACCAAGCCAAGAAGAAAATGAAACTGTGGGCGCGCCGCGCAAAAATCGTTGAGCGCG